CTCCAGCCAATAGGAAGAGGGGGAGGTGACGCGCCCCTCCGCCGCGCATGCGGTGCGGGGACTGCGGGACGGAGCGAGGGACGGGGAGGGCGGGCAGCGGGACATCCTGCCCCGCACAACCCCCGCCACGCAACGGGGAAAAAAACGAACTCCCGTCTTCCTGAAAAATTCTCTTTTTAACCCTTTTATTAAAATAGTTTTTTTTGGACAAGTGGGTCACCACACCCTCCGGACAGGTCCTCACCTTCCCTTCCCGAAGGTGGAGCAAGGCACTTGCTTTGCCCAGCGAAAAATAAAGATTATAAGCTCTGTGGGAAGAGCACATTTACTTCATTTCTTCCTCTTTCCCAGGAAAGCAAACAGAAATAATCACACGAGCCGCCATTACCACATCAGTCAAACCAGTTTTTCCTTTATTAGGTCCAACTTCACACCACAGACATCGTGACTCAGTAAAGGAAGAAGTTGTTTCAAATAAGGTAATATTTCAACATTTGTGCCTCTGGGCGGCTGCGTACAGGCAGGCAGCATCAGTGAAATGCTCAAGTCACACACCTGGAACACAACAAAACAAAACAGAAAAGCCATTAAGGCAGCAGCCCGGCACCCGAAAATTTCTGTGGGTCGCTTTTGCGCTCAAAGTCTGGTTTAATCATATTCAGCCCCCAAATGCAGTTGCTGCATTCCCAGCACAGCTGTCCTGCTACCCCCTTGCCATAGGATATGATGTATCCCAGGGCAAGCAGCAAGGCAGGCACTTAAAAGATCTGGAATTAAGTACTCTTCGCAGTCTGACACCCAATATCTCTATTCCAAGCATGATATTAAAAAAAGAATACGATGTCAGCTGTCTCCTGAAGAAGCTGACTTCAGATACTGCTTTTACTTCACTTCCATGAGGATTTTTATTTAGGCGTTAATTTTAGTCTGGGATTAGAGCACATTAGGTCTTGCCCGTGCTTAATGACAGATCCTCATTAATGACGTGCTTAATCTGTAAGCAAGGGGCCCACCAAAGCAATGGTTAACTACAGAAAAAGATGCTATTTTAAGTGTAACATGAAGAAGCTTCAGGGTTGTTGGGTGATTACCATCAGCAGGACCCATTTTCTACTATGAGCTTGTAATTAACATCTCCCAGTTTTCTAAATTGGCTAGACTGTGAGAGTGTCATCAAAGTTTGTGCATTTCCAGTGGAAATTACCCTGTCACTTTGCAAAAAATGCTTCTGGGGCACAAGCAGATGGGGAGCAAAGGTCGGCATGCTGCCAACAAAGTGCTTCAATACCCGTCTGCAAGTGCTATCTAGGAATGTCTGGCAGGTTGGGCACGGTTCCCTTCCCAAGCAAGGGCACTGTTCTTCCACGCTTCCTTGGAAAAGGGTTTGTACCTTTTCAAGGAGACCTGCAGTTACAAAGGTATTTAGACAATCATGTAACAAGCTTAAACTTCAGAGCCTTTCACAGACTGCTGAAGGCAAGCAAGAGGACTCTGTCTCTGCCAGGAGAGTTTCAGGGCACAGGAAACCCAGGCCAAGAGTCTCGGAAGATACAGCATCCCTTACCGATAAGGTTTACGCTTTGTCCAGGCCCAGTTCCTCTGGAGTGGAGATGCCCAGTTCACTCAAAGTTGGTCTAAGTTCCTGGATAACGTAAGGATAGATTTCCTTGTGAGGTCCTGCCTTGTCCTAAATGAAAAGGAATATGAATGGTGTTATTTCGACAGCAAGCTTGTTGTGAAGGTCCACCGTACACCGCTCAGGTTTGCAACCAAGTAAACCAGGTTTGTAACCAGCTCTAAGTCCTCCTACCCATTGACAGCAGCAGCAAAGCACCCCAGAATAACGCTGAACACCCCTTTGGGGGATTTGCAGATTATTCCTAATGCCTTGGCACCCTTCCCCTCACTTAACGTCCAGCTGATGTGACCTGCAACGTGTGTGTCACACCACACAGAACTAAGGACCAAGCCAAGCTCCTCCAGCGAGGGATGGTTTGCAAACCAGCCCAAGGGCTGCTTGCACCTTAGGAAACAGAATGAGAATTATATCCGATCAGCTGAGAAAATTTGACTTGCTTGGAAACCAGGGAGAAAACATCACCCTTTAAGCAATATCTAGGTGGAGCTCCAGCAAGAGCATATACTTGTCCCCAGGTTCTGATAAACTGAGTTATCCCCTAGATGGTGGGGACAAAAGGACAGGGTTAAAAAAGAAAAAAAAAAAGGGAGAAAAACATACAAAGATTTTTCCATTAGTGCCACATCTCCAAAACCACTGAAAGAGTTTCAATTCTACTGAAGAACATGAAAGCAGAAATGGCAAACTAAGAAGCAACTGAGTGTAGGACAAAGTCCGAAGCAAGTGTATTTGACAGCTAGAAGTGAAGACCTCCACGCCAGTCCTTGCTTGTGACAAAAAAATCAGTTGGAAGAGCATAGCTGCTGGCTGCTACGACTGAAACAGAACTCCTGCCTCCATCCTCGTTCGCTTGAACTCCCCGGTAAGTGAAGACTGGGCTCAGGTTTCAAAGTGCTGGATTATGCTGTTTTTCAAGCCCATGCAGCTTCCCGAGTTACTACTCCCAGCCAGCTCAGTCCTTGAAGAAGCCAGTAAAGAAAAAAAAATCCTTCAAGAATTTCCCACCTGAGTCAGCATCAGGAAAAGAAAATATGAATGTAAGAATGTCACCCTCAAAGCAGTGCTGTTTGTGCACTCTCACCTCAAAATAATTATGTCAAGCCACCAAGCACGTGCTCGTAACGAAGCTATCGATTCTGGCAGCAGGAAACAGTGGTTTCCCCTTGCACCACTAACAGTAAGCCAAGAAAAACTCTTCTGCTACTGGGCTCTCAGCAATGCAAACGCAGCAGTTACACCTCAGCTGCCTTTCCACTCACCTTTACGACTTCTAAGATGCGGACGGCACTGGCAAAGTCATTTAACCGTCTGCACGCCCTCAGAGCTGCATCGATGATTTTTGGTTCCGGAACCAGGTCATAACCCACAAGGGTGTTTATGCCTGTGAATATAGGGAAACACCAAGAGGAACTTGGCATCAGTTGCCAAAAAGAAGCTGCTAAGCAGTATTTTGCTCCACCTTACGAAAAAATTAAGTATTACCACAACACCAGTCGCCGTTAGAAGCTGATTGCAATTTTCACTGTTATTTTGGGACACACAGCCAAGGCTTTTCTTTTGCTCTTCTCCCTCTCGCTCACGACTGTAGATTTTGAGATTTTAAATGGATTTCATGAAATCTCAGTGGGCCACCTCCATCCATGCTCCCAAAAGGAGTCAGTGTCTGTACCAGGGCACGTCAGTGACGGAATCATTACGAAATCCAAATGACTTCATTCCTACGGGCGTAATGAAAATAGAACTCGAGCTGCTGTCTATTGCCTTCCTTTCCCTTTCAAGGGAAGGGCCCAACATCAAGTCATCCAGGTGATGCTGGAATGATCCCTCTGGCTGTTACGCAAACACATTTTTAAGCCCTAATTGGGGTAGTTTAATAGGAGCTGGCAGCTCCACAGCAACTAACAAGTGGAGATAAGGAAGCAGCCTACAGTGAGTTGGGGCCACACCACTGAGTCAAAGTCCAAATTAAAACGTGTGTGGCTATACACTAACTAAGAGCTGAGCTCTCCTACACCGAACACCCAGTTTATCACTATTTCGCCTCTCCAACTGCGAAGTAAAAACAAGTTTCTGGTCACCGAACTACTACAAAGCAGTTCTATTTGCTCCATGCAAAGCTACTCTTCCCTTTTCAGTCAACATACCTTTCCTGAGCTCCCAGGCATCAATATCTGGCTTGTTGAAATATGTCACCCAGCGAGCATCAAATTCTTCATCTGATTCTTGCGACCCATGAGAGTAGCAGCGGGCATGCACTACAGCTGAATGCAAAAAGAAAGGAAGAGACTTTGAGCAAACAGACACCTTGAAGCAGCATGTTCTGGTCCCCACATTTGAACCCTTCTCAAAACCACAGGGCTTGTCTGTGCACTGAGTTTAGCGACGCCAAGCAGTTTTTCAGTGGCATTTCTTCCAGAAATAAGACCCTACACCCCACTAATTACACCGTTACCCGCTCAAGATGAATACATCGGTTTATTCTGGAGCAACCTCCTATTCCTGAAACTGCTCCAGAACTGATTTTGTAATCCAGGAAAAGCAGATTTCCCAACCAACCGACTGATTCTGGTGGACAACTCAACAGCAACAGGCTGCGGGTTTTTGATTCCTCCACGAGTTCCGAGCTGATGATGGTTTGTTTTAAAGTGGTTTTAGGAATCCATGCAAAAATGAGCCCAACTATAAAGGCTCTCAAAAGCAACAGGACAGAATTTATTTCTTCCCACAGACTACTGAAGGGTTGAAGGATAAAATAAACAAATAAATAAATAAATAACTTCTGTCTCCGCATCTATCCGAGGTAAAACTCCAGCATCTAGAGCCCGCTCGAGACAGCTTTCCTTCCTTGCTGGGAACTTCACTTTGCTAATATTTGCAGAGAGGTCGTACAGCTGACATGACCTTGCCAGTCCAAAACTCCACTTCAGAGGAAGCCCGACAGAGCGAGTCACTTTTTCTTTCTCACTGGAGTGTGACCAACACTGACCAACAATAAAGTTTTACGTAAAAGAAACCCCATACTGAGTAGTATTTCTGCATCCTTCCCAGATATAGCTTTCTATTTTGAAGATCATAGTGAACAGCATACAGTGAAGCAGCAGCCTAATTCTACCTAAAATATAATAGAATGAAGGACAACAACCTCAAGAAATATCTTTAGTCTCACTGAATGATAGCCCGATCCAAATGCAACCTGGTTTCTGAACAAAATTTAACACAGTCCAACATCTCAGCTGCAATTCTGGTGTGTGCAATGCTTCCCAAACCACGCAAGTATTTTCATTTCTAGGGATGGGAAAAATAAATGACAGGCCAAGACAGAATCAGAATGCTCTTCTGCTGTTCTGTAGGGAGATTCTCCATCCTCTCCCCAGCTCCAAAACAGAACTTTGACCCTGCTTTCTCCAAAAAATCATGGGCACAGCAAAAAAGGCACAACAAAAATCATGGGCTCAGAGCAGAAGCACTTGTCTGTAAACACTCCTGTGCCCAGGCAGGGAGTGAAAAGTGCTCAGACAGTGGGTATTCTGGGGAGAATACTCTTTTCCCAAGCACAAAGCAGATCCTACAGAGGAACAACAAATCTCAGTTTGAGAAAAGCCAAGATCAAAGTCCTTGACCTTTAGGTCAAAAAACCTAAAGTCTATTTACAGTGAACACCCAACAAAACCATCAGCCTTAAGCAAAGCAACAACTCAGTTAGACTAAAAGGAAAAAGAACAACAAAAAAAGAGACCACAAGAATTTTAACCTGAGGTTTCCAGGATGCATTTTTCAATCACTGCTGGGGGGCAAAAATAAAAAAGTAAAAGCTGGTAACGTTTGACACGGACCGTTTCATAGCATCATGTAACGCCAGCCCAAAACCACGGGTGCCAAAGATGAACCTGGTGCTGGATTTACCGAAACACGACCCTCCCCGGGTGTTGCCGGCCAAGGTGTGTCGGGTCAGCCGTGTTAAACGGGGCCTCTGCAAGACAAGACCTGGGGAAGGAAGGACAGGCAGCCCAGAAGCGAGGGCCACCAGCAGCCTGGGCTCAGCGGGGGCACAAGGGCACGGCGAGCAGAGTTTTCGAGGATTTAAGGAAAGAAGATGATAAAAAAAAAAAGATT